CGCGCCCCCGGGGGACGCCCCGCGGCCAGTCCCTGCCTGGCCAGCAGCGTGACACCGGGCAGGGAGCCCCATGCAGGGATCCGAGTCCTCAGGGGACCCGCGCTGGTCATCCGCCACCGTCCCCAGGAGGGGAGGGCAGAGGCACCCGAGAGCAGTAGCAGGGTGGCAAGGAGGTGGGAATTTCTGGTGTCGGGAAAGGGATAAACCTGATGGGAAGGGGCTGAGGGATTTGAGCCTGGAGCACGTCACCCAGAGCCAGCCGATGGGAAAGGGATGCGGCCGTTACCCGGGCATTGCTCGCCCCAAAGCAGGGCACTCCGCAGAGCGAGAACAGCTCGGCACAGGGAGGGTTAACGCAAACAAAACCGGAGCAGGTTCTTTAACCGGTGCCAAAGACAGCAGAGGAAAATAGGACGAGCAGGCGAGATCTGTGGGCAGGACGGAGCCAGCTGGCTGGCACCGCTTCCCAGTCTGCGCCGGAGCGTGTTTAGGAATGGCTCCAGGAGGATGAACTCGGAGGGGCCACCAGTGCTCACACCCTGCGTCACACAGACCCTACCCAGGAGCCCGGGGTGCGTCTGCTCAGCCCCAGTCCAGAGCTTTTGCGGCTCTTCTCCCAGATCCCCCCTCCAAGGGCATCCCGGCCAAAGATGGCGCTTGGAGGGAGAGCGGGAATGCCGGGAGAGCTTCCCTCCTCTCTTGGTCCCTGCCACAGACACTCCTGCCCCAGCTGGGTCACGGGTTTCCCCTCTCCCTGCCTCCTCCAGGTTGCTCTTTCCTCCCTCCCGGCTCTCTCCCAAGCGTGACGACAGTGACCATCTTGCCGCGGTCCCCCCCATCCCCAGGGCACTCACCGGGCTTTCAGCTCCTTGTGTTCCTCCCGGACTTTGCTGAGCTCCAGCTGCAACCGAGCTCTCTCCTTGGCCACCGAATCCAAGGTCTTGCGGGCATCCGCCAGCTCCGACTCGTAGGCAGCCTTGATGCCGGAGACCTCCCGGCTCACCACCTCCTCCGATTCGGTGATGCGGAGCCGCAAGCCGGCGTTCTCCAGCTCCAGCGAGCGCACCTTGTCGATGTAGACAGCCAAGCGGTCATTGAGCTCCTGCAGGTCCTCCTTCTCCTGCAAGCGAGTGATGCGGGTGGGGGACAAGGGGGTCCCCGAAGCCCCGCTGCGGGTGCTCCTCTTCTGCGAAGGCGTCGCCATGGGGTCCGGCGTCAAGGCAAAGGACAGGTCACAGCTCAGCGTCCCGCGCCACCCACCCAGCTGTCTCAGCTGCTCCTGGTTGTCTGACTGACTTGCTTATATTCCAGCTGGGCTGTGCACCGGGAGGAGGAGCTGCAAGGAGGCGACGGGTGGAGTTTCTGCGACCTGGGTGGAGACAACCCACTTGCATCACTCGAGCCTTGGGAAAGGCTGGAAAAGCATCCCTGGGAAAAGAGGCCTTGGGAGGGCGGCTCTGGGGCACGCAGCCCAGGGTGACCCCGTCGCAAACACCCCGTGCCCCCTCCCCTTTTCTAGTGCAGTTCCCCCAGCTGAGGCTGGCTTTCAGCTTGGGGGGACTTGGCAAGGGCAAAGTGCACCCTGAGAGGGGCCGCAGCGATGGGGTACAGGCAGGCACCCCCCAGGACCCCTGGACTGGGCACCCCCAGGATATCGCTGCCCCACAGAACAGGGTGGGTGGCATCTCAGCAGCTGACCTCAGGGTGCTGGGGGGTCCTGGCATACCCCAAATGCTGCACAGGACCTCGGAGCACCCCAGACTCTGGGCTCCAGGGATCCAAATACAGGGCTCCAGGTCACCCAAACCACCGTTGCCCAGGGCACCCCAGAACCCCAAGGCACCACAGACCTAGAGCCATGGGCACCAGAGGCTACCCCCCACCCTCAGATTCCCCAGCACTAGCTTTGCCCAGTTCTCCCAGCACTGGCTGTCCCGATTTCCCAGCTCTCCCCAGTACCAGCTGTGCCGTTTTACCCTTTCTCCCAGTTTCCCATGCCAGCCGTGCTCAGTTTGTAACTCCCCTCCGGTTTCCCCTGCCCCAGCTGTTTCCCATTCTCCCACCTCCCACTGCCAGCCATTCCCAGTGCCCCCAGCACTCGGCCATTCTTCCAGTATCTCCAGTTCCCAGCACTGGTGATTCCCAGTCCTCCCAGCTGCTGGCCAGCTTGGAGCAGGGTGCAGGGTGCCCTGCCTCCCTCCCTCCCTCGAAACGCTGCCGAGACTTGGCAGCTCATCACTTCCAGATCTGCCACATGCTTCCTGTGCTACCGTGGGGGGTTTGTCCCCTTCTAGGACTTCATCCCCCCCCTCCCCGTGCTTTGCACTACTCCTGCACGGGAGGGGGAGAACTGGGGACGGCAAGGGGAACGGAGAAGCAACCCTTTTGCACCCCAGAAACGAGGGGCTGAGCCAGGACCTTGGCGGGTGGTGGTCATGGTGGCTCCAGCGTCCTCCTTTGTGGGCTCCCGCTAGCAAAATTGGGCTGTGCGGTAAGGAAAGCTGATGAGGGAGCTGCCCCCCGTGGCTGGGGACGCCGGCGAGAGACTGGGCACCGGTGCTGACAC